CCCAGCGCCACACTCTCCCGAGTGCGCCACGGGCTCGGCCCAGCAGAAGCATTTTTAATCGAGTGGAACCTTCCTATGGGGAAGGTCACCATTTGAACAGTAGACGTAGGGCAAGATGAACTCTCTTTGAAAAAAGTGCCAGCCCAAGCAGCTCTGAGGGGTCTCTGGGAATCCTAACCAAGGTGACTGTCACATTCTATCTGACAAAACAAATTGTCCAGGATTACAGTCAAACAGCAGGACCCTAGTGAGAATCACAGGCCATATGTGCAACACTAAAGACGATCCTAACCAAGGTGACTGTCACATTCTATCTGACAAAACAAATTGTCCAGGATTACAGTCAACCAGCAGGACCCTAGTGAGAATCACAGGCCATATGTGCAACACTAAAGACGACCCTCCGAGAGCCGGTGTTGTGTGGAGATGGAGATGGAAGCACATTTCAGCTTGTACACAGAGAAAACACTCAGTGATAAATTGAGTCCTTGGAATTTCAGGGTTCAGATGCGCCTGGTCCTAGCTGTTCAGACTACAGCTTAAAAACGGGTATCATTCTAATGTCAGGGCCTGAATAAAAGCTAATGTGGTTAAGGAGACATCCAGAACGTATAACATGGTTCACATACCACCCTGTTTCCTCAAGGAAAAAGCATATGTGGCTTGGGGTATGTGGGGGTGGGGTGGGGTGGAGGGAATTCCTGCCCTCAGGATTCTGCTAAGAGAAGCTGAATCTGCATCTTCCCTTTCTCCTCTGTGACCTCCATGATGGTGGGTGATTTCATGATGTTGAAAACGGTCCCAAAAAGCACTTGGGGGTTGATTCATCTTTTTCCTAAAACCCTTTATTGACTTGCTATCATTTAGTCTGATGAGAAAGTTTGGTTAAAAAAAAAATCAGTGTGGCAGAACATGAAAACCTCAAATTATTTCTTTTTCAAAAGTAGTGACTATTTCTAAACTTCAAAATATCTCCACCTACCTTTCCCCCTGTTGTCTGCAATAACTCCCTTTTGGCTTTAAGCTTAACCCATGTCTTCCTCTTTCCTATTCTCTCTATGGGGTCTCTGAAAGTACATGACCTCCCATTCCATCCAGGTGAGAACAAGCCCCCAAGAACTCTGTGCCAAAAACCAAGCCACATTTCCAAAAACAATATAACATTGCATTGCATTTCTTTCCAAAGTAATTTCCTGGCTGGAAACCCTTATGACACCCAGAGTGTAGAAATGACTTATTAACATTAAAGGGCCGAGAAGATAAGCTTGATTTTCCCAAATCTGCATCTGACTGTTCAGATCTGACTGTGCAGACCACGATCTAGGATTTATTAACTTTTCTTCTAGGTACAAAGTACTGGATTCCAGAGACAGTATTCTGAGAAGACATGGATTTAAGAAAACAAACCGACCTTATAACCCAGTTCTTGAACAGGACGTTTTTCAAGGGGCCCCGTTCCAGACTTACATTAATGATACAAGAGAATACTGGAGTCTTACTTTTCCATCTGCACACTTGGTGCCTGCAAGCACAAGCCCTGGGTCTGGCATGTCATCGCCCAAGTACACGTGGGTCCCCCGGCACAGAATCCGGCCTCCTTCCTGCAGTGGGATATTTGTTTCTATGGAAACAGCATTGGTACCAATGACTGGCCGGCTGGCCCCTCCTTGACATTGGATTTTTCCACATTTAGCATCTCTGGAAGGGTAAGAACAAACAATCCCCAAAGTCAAACAGTTTGGAACCAACCCCAAGTGATGTGGGAAGGTCAAAGCGATGACACTGGGCAGATGAGCACCTCTCATACCTCATCTCGCATTTGGCAAAGGAACTCTTGGAGTCTTTGCCACAGTTGCCGTAAGGATCACCTGCGGAGTTGACTCTCTCAAAGCAGATCCCAGGGGCAGGTTTAGCACCTGGAACAGAAGCAAAACAGCACTTTCACCTCCTGCAAGTTTTCTTAACATTTTTCATTGAAGGGCACTGGGCTTCCAGGCAAAGGGGAAATGTGCTCTGTGTTCAGACAGGTTGCCCCCGGTGTCTCAGCAGCTTCACAGTGGGAACTGGCTGGGGGAAGCCCGAGTGTCACAGCTGGCACCTGCTCCTGGCTCAGCTCACAATAAGGCACACGTCGTGGCTCACTCTTCTTTAGGGCTGCTATCTCAGGCCCTTGGCGTGCGTAGCCTCTCAGGAGATGAGGCCTGGCTGTGGGACCGGACCTGATCCTAGGCAGAAAGGAGCTGCTGGCTGCAGAGCAGGGGAAGCTCGCTCTCTTTAACAACATCCCACACAATTCCGGTGAGAAAATGCAAGCGAGGGCAGATTCCAAAGAGTAACGATGACTAATGTGGGGAAATGGGAGAGAGAACAGATGAGCAGTGCCGGGATCTCACACGACACTTTCAGTCCCATAAAGCTCCCTGTAAGAGCAAGCACTGGCTGCAATTAACACCTGCTTTTGCACAGCAGAGATTGCTCTCAGGGGCCATGGAGTCATAACCCTGGTGGTCACTGTGCACAGCGTGACATGGGGAGGGTCATGGCAGCTGGAGAGCTCAGGAAATGGCCATTTTTAGCACATCTTCCAGCAGGGAAAGAGAGGGCATATAATCGGGGTTCACAGTGCTACAGCTTTGGAGGCTCTTGAATCCTGTGCATAGTGATATCATTGAAGACTAAGATCAAGTTGGGAAAACCCGCTGCCTTCTTTGTACGAACCCTGCCCTTCGGTGTGGCCTTGGTGTACCTTGTCCCCCACACTGGCGTGTTTGGGCACTTCCTGTCACATCACTTCTAACTGCCAGGATGCCAGCTTCCAGGGCCCAGCCCTGCCTCTGCTCTGCTCCCAACTTCAGGGAGGCTCCACTTGCCTTCCAAGCTGATGATGAACTTACTTAACATACTAATAGATGATGGCAAGGCTCCCCTCCTCCCAGGGAGCAGGAGATGATCTTATTACTAAAACCAGCCACTGATCTGCAGCCTGTTCCTCATCAGCTGCTAGCAGACATGACTATTTCTTTATAAAAAGCCCGACATCTCTTTATAAAAAAACCCGATACGTGAGGTGGGGATGATCTTATTACTAAAACCAGCCACTGATCTGCAGCCTGTTCCTCATCAGCTGCTAGCAGACACGACTATTTCTTTATAAAAAGCCCGACATCTCTTTATAAAAAAACCCGATACGTGAGGTGGGGATCGTGCTAAGCAACTGACCTCCACATAGAGCCCTGCAGTCCTGCACCTCCATTTTCCCATTTTTTCAAAAACCATTTGAGAGAGGCCTTCCCAAACTGGACACGATTCCCTCGTCATGAAAAAAGGCGAAGTCTCTGGCTCTTTAAAATCACATTCCTTTTATTCTGATTCTCTTCTTTGCTTGCAGTGTGGCTGCACAACCGACGTAGTCAGCTTCTGCCTGTTGTGGGTCCGATCTGCCCTCATCCTGCCTAATTATTCTTTTTCATGTACCACCAGAGGGGGGAAGGGTGGGCAGGGCGAGTCTCCATGTGGAACCTGCACTTTGTATTTAAATTAATCCCGCTTGATGGTACTTTTGATCAAAGAACTTGGATCTAATCGATTAAAGCAGTTTGGAAAAATCGGCATGTAAAATATTAACAACACAACCATTTGTTTTTGCATGGACCCTGTGCATTTATCGCCTGCCCGTTTGGTTCTTTCTTGCAATCATCCATCCTCCTATCTTTCCCCATTCATTCTTCCCTCCCTCCTTCCACCCACCTGTCTACCCATCATGTTGCAGACTTCCATCTAACACACATATTTGTTCGGCACTTACTGTCTTCCAGGCACTGGGGGTATAGTGGTGACCAAATTGGACCAAACTCCTGCTTGCTTGAAAATTGCAAGGACAAACAGAAAACAAACAAACAAATCCACTCCTCTGAAGTCCAGTGTTGGAGAGTGCTATGAAGGAAAAGAGAGTAAGGGGGCCCAGGGGGCTGTTGTTCTTTAAGGCAGGCTGGTCAGGGACACCTCTTACAGGAGAAAAGCCATGAGCTGAATCCCACCACTTAATCCTACCAGTGATCCTACAAGGTGGGTCTCATTATCCCATTTTACGGACAAGAAAACCAGGACTTAAGAGGTTAGATATCATTTCGTCATGGAATATGATGCTGTTTTAATGCTACTAGTATACAGATTCTGTCACCCTTACTGTTATAAAGTAACTTTCTCCTGGGAATTGTGGCCACTTACAAGAACCTATACCATGCTGCCATTCAAATGTGTTAACTGACAAATTTTTCTCATAGGGAGCTGTCAAGAGCTTTCCGAGTTTTGGACATGTGAGCTCACGGACAGCTCAATGATCCCTGGGAGGAGGATGAGATGGGGCGGGTTGGACTGGGGGGCACACGAGGACAAGAGAGAAGGGGAGGAAGGGGAGGGAGGAAAGACGAGCAGGAGACCACTGCCGCAGGGGTTTAACACACTGCAAATGGGACAGCAAAGCAAGGGGGAAGCCTGAAAAATAAATACCAAATAAAGGAGCTAAAATTATGCTAGCAAACCAAGCAAAGGAATAGAAACAGCATTTAAACAAGTATAAAAGCATCTTGGAAGAGAAAACAAACACTGGATTGCTGCTCGGGAATCCAAACGCGGAACACACTGGCCTTCTGGGTTGGGTGTGCCTGCGCTTTTAATGCCCCAAATGCCGATGGGGCAGCCCAGCTCAGAAAACCAGGTGTACATGAGATGCAATGGCCTGTAAACCCGCTGAGGCTTTTCCTGATAACTCTGAAGCACTGTACATGCCCAAGCAGAAGGCACCTTGCATTTCAGGACAGCTGCCATTTTTCAAATATAAAATCCCATAGAAAGGTTTATGGCCAATTTGAATATATTGCTTTTTTTTTTTTTACTCTCCGATATCATGAAATAACTGTACTCACATGCATGCTTCTGTGGTCTCACGGTCTTTTTTTTTTCCGCAGCACCCCCCACACTTCTGGTTGTTCTGACGCTGACCTTTCCCATTCTATTATGATGCTGTCGCTGGGAATCTTATTTTAGGCACAAGTACCTGCTTCGCCAACAGTGGGACAGTTCGTCTTTTTATTTATTTTACTTTTTCCTATTTGTCCAGTGGGTGTATATTCGTGACCTCTACAACCTAATCACCCATCCTGTGGCTTACCAAAGTGATTTTTTAAAAGCTCTTTTACCAAAATAACCAAAAATAGAGTCATGAAGTCACACCCTAGGAATAATAATTAAGCATGTGATAAATGCGCCTGGCTTTTTTTAAGCCCAATTTTGCTGGTCCACCTCAACGAGCCTCCCAAGCCAGCACAGATGGAGGTTTACAAGATGCAAAGCGCCTTCCCAGCTGGACTGGGACATTCAAAAGATGTGATGGAGAGACTGAGAGGTTGGTAATAAACAATTCTGATGGGTAATTTCAGGGGGAAGCCTTGTTTTACAGCTGGGCATGCATGGGATCTAAGAAGCACCACCACAAACATGCATCGCATCTCACACCTTTTGGGAATGCCTCCTTCCGTGTGGTCTCTGTCGTTGGCAGCCATGCTGCAGAGCTGGAAGAGCAAGGGCTTGGGACACAGAACAATGTGGGCTGGTCTGGAGTGGGCCCTACATACAACAGGACTTTGTTACAGAAGCTGCTGAGGCTTTGTTCCCTCATCTGTAAAATGGAGACAAGGACACCACCTGAGTCAGAGACACCGTGAAGCTCAGTGAGTCCGTGGGTAAAGCCCTGGCATATGTCAGGCCCTCCGGGACCCGAGTTATGATGACGACTCCCATCCATCATGAGGAAGGCTTGGCTTCTGGACCTGAGGGCAGGGAGAGTGTGCAGAAGACAGGCCCGTGTCTAGGACCTTGTTCACAGCACCTGCATATTTGTAATGGCTCGCAATTGTGTCAACAGGGGCTGTCCACCTATCCCCCTCCCAAGTTATAGTCCCCGGGGCCTCGGCACTTTGAGGAAAACCAGTGAAGACTGATGAATGACCGGATACCTTGGGAAATGAGGGGGATGAAAAAAAAATCTCATCTGAAAGCCTGGGAGTTTGTGCACATACTTTGCATAGAAATCCAAATCCTTGTCAACGAAGTAGTTTCTAAGAGGCAGGTGGCACAGGATCATGGCTGGACAGAAGGATCGTGGTTTTGGTTTGAGATCCATGAGTCAAGCTCAGCTTTGCCACTTACTCATGTGGTGATTTTGGCAAGTCACAAATCCTTGAGTCACAGCTCCCCACGGGCCCGGGGTCAGGGCTGGATCTGGGCCCCCTCCAGCCAGCTCCTGCTGGGCCTCCGCAACCTCGTCTTGCTGAGTAGGCAACAGACCTCGAGTTAAGACACTTGGGTTTGACGCTCTACTCCACCGAACCCTGGGAACGAAGATCATCTCCCCTATAACTCCTCCCCTTGCTCTTAGCAAACACACACACTTTAAGTGACTGGCACTTTTTAGATCATCAGCGTGTTATGTGTCGGGCACCCCCACGTGTTATATGTCGGGTGTATTGCTGGGTGCAGCATGCAGTACCTTTGATCCTTATAACTACCCTATGAGGTCTATGTCCCCCTATTTCACAGATCTTAACACTAAGGCTCAGCATTTTAGCAACTTGCCAAAAATCACCACATGAGTAAGTGGCAAAGCTGAGCTTGACTCATGGATCTCAAACCAAAACCACGATCCTTCTGTCCAGCCATGATCCTGTGCCACCTGCCTCTTAGAAACTACCTCGTTGACAACTGACTCCTGTCCCTGCCGTTCCTCCCTCTCCAGACCACAAACATGCTCCTGTAATCCACCTGCTCTTGCCCTTGGCTCCATCTCCACCAAGCCCTTTTCCAGTGAATAACCTGACAGGCCAGCATGTGCGTTCATCCCAGGTGCTGCCCTGAATTG